AAACTATTGAGATAAAATTTCAAATTTTTCACACTTTCTACATCACCAGACAGCATATTTGTCAAATAAACATTTTCAAAATCAAAACCTTAATGAGAGTTTTATTGTGCCAGCCCACTAACGTTTTGATCGCCCATTGCTACATTTATGAAGTCACATGGCACAAAATACAGGTACTCATGACTGAATAGTTTTAAGAATATTTTATAAAATGAATTAGATTAAAAATATGCTTATACAATGTTATAGTGAGGTATAACCTGCAATAAACACATATTTTTCATGTAGAAATAAAAAAAATCTCTTTTCAAACAGGGATACTTATTTCTATACTGTGAAATCATTTGTTTAATGGTGACCAATCCTTCTTCTTACATAGGATCAGCATTAAAACACATTATACCTCCTAATGAGAGATTTTTTTTTCAATTACACTTAATTAAAAAAGATTTTTGAATCAAAATTAGCATTTAGTCTTTGAAATAAATTATGAACTATGAAAATATACATAGTGTTCTTAGATTTTTAGATTACAGGAAAGGGGAATCAGAATGATCTGAAAAAGAACCAGTCACCACAAATACAAATAATTCCACAGCAATCGAAGTCATTTCTGATTAATTCTGAAACGAAGACAGGAATTATCTGTTAGTTTTATGGATCCATCTGTATAGAAGGAATCTGAATTTTAAAAAAATGTTAAGGATGTTAAATGAAGGTCTTTTTATCAGTTTTACTGTACTATGAGTGAGTACAATCTAATTAAAATTAGATGTAAGATCTACTCTCATACTCAATACATTAACATCTTACAATATCCCAAAGAGGGTCACGTCAGAGGTCAGATTCTGAACAACTGCTTTGACAAATATGTGATGATTTTGCAGGTGACGATTTGATTGGTTGATTGAATTTGACCTCTGATGTGATCCTCTATGGGATGTTGTTAGATGTTAGTGTAGCTCTTTTTACTTATTAATTGAAAGCTTAGATAAAATAAACAAGACAAACAAGACAGGTAAAAAATAAAACTTAGCTTTTACAAGTTAATGAAGCAGCATGCTGTTAATTACAGTATACCATATAGCGGGTTATTTTAGCGGGGTGCTAATTTTGGCTTATTTTGGCGTTTTGATGATAGTCCGCTAAAATTTTAATCGCTAAAATACTCAGTACTCTTCTTAGTGTTCATCTGCAAAGAGTTGAAACCCTGCGTCCGCTAAAATAAATGACGCCAAAATTATTGGCATACCTTTGAGTAGGCAAAACGCCAAATTTCACACCTCGAAGAAAACCTGCTATACGGTATCTGCTGCATCAATCATAAAACACTTATTTCACCATATTTTCACCTTTCTTCCTGATCAATTTTCACTCTTTGATATCTTATGCTTAAAATTGCAGAAATATTAAAGCTAAGCTTAGATTTTCCCATTTGAGTATCGATAAAGCTATTTACACATTTGCAAGGGTACAAGAACTTACCATGCAGATCTAGGTAAAATTCAGAGTGATCATTTATTCATTGAACAAATTTTTAAATATCCTGCCCCATTTTCCTTTCACATTCTCAACTTAAATTTAGAGCAACATAACCTAGTTGTATATATTTCAATTACAGAGTTCTGGTTAAACACATTAACATGAAACATAAACACCACAGATATAAATTAGTCATTTTAAATGTGGATATTTTTTTTTCATAACAGAAAACTTACAAAAATGCCCTAAAGAAAGTAGAAAAAAGAAAAGCAATTCTAAAATAACTAAAATAAGTGTGCAACCAAACCATGTAAATTTGGCTGGGATTGAATTGTTAGTAGAATGCAGTCTTTCAAACTAAACTTGTCTAGAGTATCTTTTTATCTACATGTATTCAACATTCCGTCACTTGAAAGGTTTCAGGTTTTTCATGGTTATAGACAACATGTAAACTGAAAGTCTAAGATTCTATAAACAAGGCAGAGCAATGGGATCACAACAAAGCAACAAAAGCTATTGTTTTAGAGCAGCCAATGATGGGGGTATCTGTCCATTACTTCTTAAAGACCTGCATTCTAAAAGAAATGGTATATAAAGTTACCTTCTAATTTGATGTCTGTTGCAGCATGGAAAAGAAGGTCAAAAACTCTTTTTTGAAATCTTAGCAATTTTGAAAAGTGTTTCAAAACATAAATATTCCACACAAGATTATGTTAATAGAAATATAGTAAATCACACACTAAGCTATTTCTTTTCAAACATCAACTGAACAAAAAGTTCACTTCAATGACACACAAAATTATTTTTACAATAGATTTTTATACATCCGTACACATTTAACAAATGAACTGCACACAGTTATAAAAGCCTTCACACTATATGGTGTAAGCGTACTCACCTTTGAAGGACTTAATCATGCCTTTCCTCATGATTGGAAGACAGAGGGGAATATAGTGCTCGTGTGAACAAACCTCACACAGAAACTCAAACTTCAGATCATACAGAGACTGAAACCAAAACAAACATTGAATTAAGGTAGTCCAATCTTCCGGTTCTAAAAATCAGCAGTCCAGTAATTGAACAATACTCCAATATCTTACATGATAATAAAACTAGTTTTGGGACAGTTTATCACAAACACAAAATACATCATGATTTTGCTTAAAATACTTTTTGATTATCTTCATATTTTCAAGCTCTAATGAATAAATTACTTCATGCTGACTCTTTTGTTTTTACTACACATATTTTAGTTTCAACCGATTTAAATTTAAGAAGACAAACCTTGGAATCCCCTGGACCAAATTGTTCTACATAAGACGCAATGTTCTTAAACACAAATCCTCTATCCATCAATGTAAAGCAACTCTGTAATAAAATCAATAAGAAAAAAATCATGTACTGTAACAAAATCATCTAATCCTTCAAGGACATAAATCTTGTAAAACAATGTCTTTCTAAACAAAGCTTACTTAAAATTACATACCAAGAAAATGTATATTTTGCTAAGAATGTCTGACTAATGAGTTGGTACACCTTACAATTAACCAAATGGCAATTCCATATTTGATTTCCATCAAAAATTATAACCAAGGACACTCTGAGCATTCAGGATTAATTTAGGCTATACCTTCACAAACTTGGCTAAACTTTGATTGGCCATCTTTGTCTCTCTAGGCATCTCTCTTTGTTTCTGGATGATATTGGGAGTCAGTGTTTGAAGCAGGTTTTGTATTCTGAACTGATAATCAGATGTAAATCTCTCATTCCTTGGCATCTGTAAGATACACATGTAATATAAAATTATCTTCTAAAACATTTTTTCACTACAGTTCAATGATTTCAAAATCGATTCTTCTCTGCAGGATCTGACCATAAATTTCTTGGATAAACTTTGGTATTTCAAACACAAAGATACCAGATACAGATATTGCCTTGATTTATTCAATAGAATATGTGTAAAACACTCTGTTATTGCGAATAATGTGAATATGTTAAGTGATTTGGAAGTCCCAACCACTTACTCTGAAAGTATTTGACCCTCCATATCTTGAATCCAATAAAAGGCATGTATATTTTTTTTTCTCTCAGTCACATTGAGATCAAGATTACAAGGTTTGACATTAGTTGAACATACACTGTGTAAAATTCATCAAAGAGTATGGGAGAAGTATTCTTACCTTGATTCTGTCTGTGCCTATGAGGTAGAGAGCCATGCTCTTAATGAGGATCTCAAAGAAGTATTCTTACCTTGATTCTGTCTGTGCCTATGAGGTAGAGAGCCATGCTCTTAATGAGGATCTCAAAGAAGTATTCTTACCTTGATTCTGTCTGTGCCTATGAGGTAGAGAGCCATGCTCTTAATGAGGATCTCAAAGAAGTATTCTAACCTTGATTCTGTCTGTGCCTATGAGGTAGAGAGCCATGCTCTTAATGAGGATCTCAAAGAAGTATTCTTACCTTGATTCTGTCTGTGCCTATGAGGTAGAGAGCCATGCTCTTAATGAGGATCTCAAAGAAGTATTCTAACCTTGATTCTGTCTGTGCCTATGAGGTAGAGAGCCATGCTCTTAATGAGGATCTCAAAGAAGTATTCTAACCTTGATTCTGTCTGTGCCTATGAGGTAGAGAGCCATGCTCTTAATGAGGATCTCAAAGAAGTATTCTTACCTTGATTCTGTCTGTGCCTATGAGGTAGAGAGCCATGCTCTTAATGAGGATCTCAAAGAAGTATTCTTACCTTGATTCTGTCTGTGCCTATGAGGTAGAGAGCCATGCTCTTAATGAGGATCTCAAAGAAGTATTCTTACCTTGATTCTGTCTGTGCCTATGAGGTAGAGAGCCATGCTCTTAATGAGGATCTCAAAGAAGTATTCTTACCTTGATTCTGTCTGTGCCTATGAGGTAGAGAGCCATGCTCTTAATGAGGATCTCAAAGAAGAACCAGGAGTACTTGAGGAACTTGCAGACCACTACATTGTCAGCGTTGGCCGGTCGGAGGATAGTGGTCAGGTTTTTGGCCAGCTCCTCATGCACTGTGTGGACATTTTTACTGCCTTTTGGAATGGGGTCAGGGTTAAACACATACTGAAAGAAAACAATCTATTTAAGTATGGAAAAACTTGTAATTTATCTGTGGTTCTTTTTATTTCATAATATAAATAGATCAATTAGTTTGTGTTTTTCAAAATACTTGTTGAGTGAACAAACCTTGACATAACTTTTAAGAGCATCTTGTTTATCAGCTAGGGACACCTCAGTGACAATGTGAATCAAAACTCTGAAATAAAAATGTCACTTCTGTACTTAAAAGTAGTCAAAAAGCTGTAATAAATTAAATTGAAAAAAAAGTTTTATCCATTCAATGTGGCAAGACATTTTTAAAGTGTAACTGATTACATGTATTTGGAAATGTAACAAGAGGCCAATGGCCCATAATCAGGGCTGTCACAGCACCTTTTGGTACAGGGACCAGGTCCCTCTATATTGGGAAAAATCCTCGACATTTTTGTTAAATTGGAAAAATTATAAACATACTTACATGTACATGGATTAACCTCCCCAGCAAAATATTTAATCATGAAAGCCATTTATCACTTTAAAAAATATACTTGAAATGCTAAAATTTACAGGACATAAGGTCTGATAAAATCTATATTTAACAGACAAAACATTTACTTACTAGACAGGCATTTTTTCTTTTATTTTCATATGATACAGAGACTGAAAAAAAAATGGGGGGGGGGTGTTTCTTACTATTTAATTGCACCCTAAATAATTAAAAAATTTAGATTATAAAGAATGATTTTATTGAAATGATCAAATTACTACTTAAAAGGTTAGCATAAAATTGCCCAAAATTTATTTCTTTTTTTATGGTCATTTGACTCATGCAAATGAAACAGATAGTGTCCAAGATTTTATTTTAATTCATAATTCACTTTAAAATATATATTATTATTTTATGAACTAACTCATAATAGTTATCCTTGTTTAATAATGAAAATAAGTTCCCCATCCCAATCTACGTATGACCTATCTATAGATCTCTATTCCATGACAGAGGAAATTCGAATTAGAAATAAACTATCTTGACAGGTTGTTGCAGATTAAAATTAAGCATGCATTACTGCTAAATGGATCAAATAAAGGATGTGTGTGTGGGATATTAGGTCGTATATCCGAGAAAATACGTGTTTGGGAAATTTTTACAAATGAAATTGGGAAAATCTAGCACTTTGTGCCATTGGGAATGGGTCCGATATTCGGTCCAAATTTGAGGGGAGTGACGGCCCTGATAATAAACATAGAGAAGAATCCTTTCTGTAATTCAAAACACATACATGTACCTTGAATTAAGGGGGGACCTATGTCCGAAAAGTCTTTGTGTGAAATTTTCAAAACTTTGACATTTCTTTCCTGACCACTTGATCTTAATTTTTAGTTATTAAAAACAATACCTTTATATGCCTATTTTTACACAGGAGCACGTGCAAAAACAGTGTGAAATGCTAAAAATAGATTATTTTCAGACATTATTGTTCTACTCCAAATATGCGCTAAAAAGAACCAAAAATTTCAAATCACATTCGAAATCAACATGTATTTAATTTATATGACTTGTATCTTTAAAATGAAGGCAAATTCGTTGTAATTCATCTCGCCTGAAATTTTATAAAGGAGCACAATGTAAGTATTACCCCGTTTTTCTTGTCGTATTTTTTACAACTCCGACATACATAACAGGTAATATCTTAAAAAGTCTTTGTGTGAAAATGTTGTAATTCATATTGTTTGAAAGAAATGACCCCTCTCTTTAATTTAACAAGGAAAAAAGTATACCTTTATGATAAAATAAACGAGAAATATGACGTTTTCTTTTATTTTCGTACTCTTCTGTCATAAATATTGACCTTTTTGCACTAAAAAAGGGTAAGTTAGCACTGACAAACATCTGAATATAAAACTATTTTGCAAAAAACGAGTATTTTGTTTTGATAAGAAATAATTTAAACAGATAAACTCTTTTCTTCTTCATTCTAATCATTCTGCCCCCCCCCCCCCCTTCCCTGTCAACAACCAACACCCAATAGAACCTAGGAATGACTTTATACAATAAAATCTACATACACTATAAATCAATAAGTAAATATATGTACAAATAATATTTCTTAACTTTTTCTTAGTTTTATCAAGAAAATACAATTAATGGTAATCATAAAATTAAACATATTTCCCTAATTTAAGCCACTGTCTTTGCTGAATTTTATCTTATATTTTTTGCATTTTTATATCAGAATACTGTAAACCAACTTTTATTCGCGACGACTTTATTTTGCGATTAACCGAGAGTAAACTAGTTCGCGACGATTAATTTTCGCAATCAAGTCATTTTTGGAAATGTTTTAATAGAAAAAGAGACTTTAAAACCCAATCGCGGCGAGAAATATTCGCGATGACGATGCTCTCGCGAACCTCGCGAAAATTTCTCGCACGCGAATAAAAGTTGGTTTACAGTATCATAGAGGTATTTCTTCACAACTGAAATTGCTATGAATTATCAACCAAAGGAAGAGAATTCTGATATTAACAAACTCCATAAATCAAATAAAACTGTTTTAAATAATGAAAAAATTTTCTTTTTGTAAACTGTGTACTTTTTTGATTGATAACAATGTAATGCCTATAATCACAGTTGCAAAGTCAGCGGGAAAAAAACAAACGTGGCTATTGTGACGTCACATTACGCTGCTTTGACGTCGAACGACATAGGTCCCCCCTTAAGAGCAAATTGAAGAAAAAGAAAACTTGGAGAGCGCAATTCAATTGTGTCAAAATTTTCTGACCTTGAACTTCTCTTTGACTTATATTTTTGTCATAGTTGAATTTCTTTTTTGGATAATAAATTTTACAATGAAAGAAAAATTGAGGTAAAGAATGTTCAACAAAAGTACAGACCAGTTTTCTATGAAGACTTTGTCCATTATACCGATCAAATAATTATTTTGACTTGCATAAAATCCATCTGGCTAGCTACATCTTCCTCCATATAATGTCCTCCTATGAGGTGTACCTTTCATACATTATAATTATTACAGTATATAAGTGTATACATACTTGACAGCATTGAGGGCCACGTCGTCACTGATGGTCTTAACAAGGAGGGAAAACAGCTGATTTAACACCGTCGGCAAGAACTGGACATAAGTCAGTACATCAACAGCGTGCAGAGACTGGAAAAGGAAAATATATACCTTAAAATACTCTGAATGAAAATAAATTAATACTACTATCAGAATGTAAATCATTGTTCATGTTTTATACACCTTGAAACATCACATTTTATGGTTTTTTTCAAATATATCTATAATTCCAATAAATATGATTACACATACACTGTATACATTTCATTGCTTTCAATTACATTGTAGGTTTTCAAAAAAATTAATTTTGATTTTCATTCCTGAATTATAAGCGATACATGCCTGCATTAGGTATTTTCAAGCTCAAAATTTGGCCTAAAACCTGAAAGTCATTAAGGTACCCTTTACCTGTTAATTTTCCCTTCAAAATAAACCCCTCAAACACACAAACTAATGCAGATTTTTTTCTAGGATTGCTGCTTTTGTGCTGATATTACATTTCAAAAGTGGAAATCATTTTTACATTTGTCTATTATTTGGTGTATTTACACCAAAAATTACTGAAAAAATCCTACAGTGCAGCTGTAAGAATGCAGTGACTTCTTGTGCTGAACAAAAGCCCTCTAAATAAAACAAAATACAAAAACCTCACACAGCATTTAAAAAAATCATCTTTCAATTTCAAAAACCTGTTTCCGCTTTATAATGGCTGCATGTTTTACAGTGTAATATTGGTTTTTTTAAATTAAATAATGAATATTTACATGTATATGTAATCACTTGCATATTGTATATGTGTACTTGGCTATTTTAATATAAGAAATAATTGTATTAACAGGGAATGTATAAAGATCATCACTGATGGGTCGACATTCCAAAATGCACTTTAAATGTATGTTTATAGGTGTTAACAAATGGTTTGCTTGCATTCATTATTCAGGTTTTAGATAAAGTGGAGGGTGAAACCCGGAAGAAATGTTACCTTGGCTGAATTTGATAGAAAGGTTTTCTCCAAATCCATGGTAGGCTTGTCAAGCTGTTATATGACATATTAACCAATAGGATCATTAATAAAATAAATGTTCTCAAAATAACAAAAGATGTAAAATTACATCAAACTATAAACACGTATTATAGCCCATATAATTTACATATGTATATTTTTTTCCTTTACTTATATCATGGTGATTTTGTGAAAAAAATACACACAGTTAGCAGTTGTATACAGGCGTGTGTGGACAAGGTGGGACAAGGTGTCTATTTGACCTTAAAAGTCTGATTCTGACCAACACAAATCATTTATATTGACCAATTGAAATAAAATGACACTAACTTAGAGAGTTCAGAAGCCCTGGCCAAGGTTTATACTCAGAAAGGCCAATCTACCTTCCAACAGCAGTCTTTGAGACATTAAAACTCAATGATCTTGAGAAAATTGCCTATTTGCAAAGCATGCAGAATTGATTAAAGTTTCATCTAAAGTAAATCTGATTAAAATCAGATCCTTTGATCCGCTCACATAGATCGCTACACAAGGATCTGAAGAAACCCCATTCAGGGTCATCTCCCTGTGAACTTTGAATTATCCAATCAAATGTTCATTTTCAAGAATTGGAAAGTATCTCGGCATTCAGTAACAGAGGGGAAAGGCCCGATGATACATGAATGGAAAAATCGTGACCTAGTTTCTGTAGCCTGTCAAGAGAAGAACCAAAGTCTTTTCTGTACAGTAATATAATAAGTACTTGCTTTTGTCTTGTTTTATAGCTCTTTGTTTTGTACGAAACGATAAGATCTTCTCCGCAGCAACTTTCACTTCTATATTCATTTTCCCGAATGTCACTTCAGTACGATCTCTCTGATTGGTCAAAGTTTTCATGAATATTTTTATAAGAAAGGTCACCAGGAGATGACCCTGAATGGGGTTTCTTCAGATCCTTGTGTAGCGATCTATGTGAGCGGATCAAAGGATCTGATTTTAATCAGATTGATCTAAAGTTTTTACAGGAAATGTTAAAATAGAAGACACAGCAGTAAACAAAGAAATGAACAATACCAAAAAATAGGGCTACAAAATATGTAATACATCCAAACAAATATAATTCCATAAAAACAAAAGTTTCATATATTTGCAAATTACATGAATGTTATCAAGTACAAGTAAACCCGAGACAAAATACTGAATCTACACATAAATAAAATTGAAATACATGTAACTGCATGACTATGATCTTTGATGTTAGGGTACTTGAGTATATTTTTATATTATCAAACAGTACCTAAATACACTCAGTAACTAAATACAGATTCCTCATAAATATCTTGCATAAAATAAAGAAAATATACAAGAAGATATTAATTTCAAAATTCGAGAATCAGCTGAGAGTAATAGGTTTCAATTTTATCCTTGTATGTATAAATCAATTTATTGTTAATTTTTTAAATAAACTAAGTGCATTAGACACAAAAAAAATCAATAAATAAATAGGTAACAGATGATAAAAATGAAAAAAAAATGCTCAAAATTAAACAAGTTATTTCACTTATTAAATATATATACATGTACATGTATATTAAATTGGTGTCAGTACTTAAAAATTATGTCACATTAACAAGACTTAGAAATAAGTGCATGTACTGACCTTAATTTTATTTAAGCTATCCACATCTGTTCCAGGCATTAATGCATTTTCTATCTTTTGGCAGTGGTAAAAAAAGTTGTGTAAATGTTGATCCTGAACAAATAAAATAATCACGGTAAATTAATTCTTTCTTAACACTCTTCAAATATTGTCAAATACATCTATAGTTTTGAATACAGGTGTTATTACATTCTGTATGTACTGTAAATCCCTTTTTATTTGCGAGAACTTTATTTTCCATAATGTGAGACAATGAGCTCACAAAAATTTCATTATAACATATAAAAGTATTCCTTACAATTATATAGAGGAATAACAACAATTCGTGAAAATTACATGTATGTCTCGCTAATAAAAGAGTTAATGACTATATCGCGATAATAAGGTGACATAAAAATTTAGTGATCTACAGTATTTGATATCCTTAACAAATGTCTGGATAAAATTATATAAAACGATATAAAAGTTGTACATTGCAATGCTCCTATGAAAGAAAACAAGAGGCCCAAGGGCCTTGAATCGCTCTTCTGATAAATTGTACAATCTATCACTTCTATTAGAAGCCTCCAACTCTATTAGTATCATAAGACCCAAAATGCATCAACTTACAAAGTTTGATAATATTTAGCCAGTTAAGACTGAAGATATTATAATATAATTATAAAATACTATAAGTAGGTCACAGTGACCTACTTTTTGATTGAAATTTTCTGAGGACTCAAGATACATTACTTGACAAAGACTGATGATTCTAATTAAATAAGTACCTGAGATATTCAAAAGTAGGTCATCATGACCTACTTTTGGTCAACATTCTCTGAAAACCCAAGATGCATCATCTGACAAAGATTGACGATTCTAAGCCAATTAGTACCAGAGATAATTAAATATAGCCATCAAATGTCAAAAGTAGGTCACAGTGACCTACTTTTTGGTCGACGTTATCCAAAAACCCAAGATTCCTAAACTGACAAAATTTTATGATTCTAAGCCATTAAGTACCTGAGATATTCAAAAGTAGGTCACCGTGACCTACTTCTTGTTGGAAATTCAATGAAACCGTAAGATGCCTCAACTGACAAAGTTTTGATGATTCCGAGCCAATAAGTACCAGATATCATTAAATATAGCCATAAAATGTCAAAAGTAGGTCACTGTGACCTACTTTTTGGTCGACGTTCTCCGAAAACCCAAGGTGCCTAAACTGACAAAGTTTGATGATTCTAAGCTAATACGTACCTGTGATATTCAAAAGTAGGTCACCGTGACCTACATTTTGGTCGACATTCTCCGAAAACCCAAGATGCCTCAACTGACAAAGTTTGATGATTCTTAGCTAATAAGCGCCTGAGATACTTAAATATAGCCATGAAATTTCAAAAGTAGGTCACTGTGATCTACTTTTTGGTCTACAATCTCCACAATCCCAAAATGCATCAACTGACAGAGTTCGATGATTTTTTAGGTCAATAAGTACCAGAGATACTTAATTATAGCCATAAAATGTCAAAAGTAGGTCACCATGACCTACTTTTTGGTCGTCACTCTCCGAAAACCCTAGATGCCTAAACTGACAAAGTTTGATGATTCTTAGCCAATAAGTGCCTGAGATACTTAAATATAGCCACAAAATGTCAAAAGTAGGTCACTGTGACCTTCTTTTTTTGGTCGACAATCTCCGAAAACCCAAGATGCATCAACTGACAAAGTTTGATGATTTTAGGTCAATAAGTACCAGAGATTCTTAATTATAGCCACAAAATGTCAAAAGTAGGTCACCATGACCTATTTTTTGGTCGTCACTCTCCAAAAACCAAAGATGCATCAACTCACAAAGTTTGATGATTCTAAGCCAATAAGTACTAGAGATGCTAAAATAAAGCCATGGAATGTCAAAAGTAGGTCACCATGACCTACTTTTTGGTCGTCACTCTCTGAAAACCCAAGATGCATCAACTACGGCAATAAGTACCTAAGATACTTAAATATAGTCATAAAATGTTGAAAGTAGGTCATCGTGACCTACATTTTGGTCGACATTTTTCAAAGACCCAAGATGCATCTACTGACCAACTTTGATGATCATAGGTCTGAAGGTAATCAAAATATGCGTTTTAAATAATTTGAAAACAATTGTTGGCAAAATTCAAAAAGTAGGTCACAGTGACCTACTTTTTCATAAATATGTTTTAAAGTCCCAAGATGCATCAAAGTACAAGATTTGATGATTCTAAATCTCCCAGTGTATGAAATAATGGGATTTAATGTTTTTAAAAGGATAAGTCATAAAGTTCAAAAAGTAGGTCACTGTGACCTACTTTTAAGTTGACATTGTTTGAGGACCCAAGATGCATCAACTGACAAAGTTTGATGATCATAGGCCTTAAAGTGTCCAAAATATGCCTTCAAATCAATCTGGAAACAAATCCCCGCAAAATTTAAAAAGTAGGTCACTGTGACCTACTTTTGAGCTAACATGATGTGAAGTCGTAAGATGCATCAACTTACACAATTTGATGATCCTAGTCCTTATAGTAAGCAAAATATACACATTTTTATTAATTGTAAATTTAGGTCAACTTTGAAGTGACCTTGAGACCACGCCCTTTACCCCAGGGTAATTCCCGGGACCCGTGCAAATTTTAATCTTCAATATATCCTGATCCTTGTATGTAAGTTTGGTGAAAATCTACCTGGTGGTTATGGAGAAGATTTTTTAGCAACCAGTACTTTTGGTTTTGTTTTCCTGATTATCTCCCCTTGTTTAAGGGTCCCAACCCTTATTTTAGTATAAATGGTAGCCCTTGGGCCAAGGATACCCTGTGACAAATTTGGTACTGATTGGCCAAGGGGTTCTTGAGTTATGGCCCATATTCTAAAAAGTTTACACACACCACACAAATGGCCATAGCATTAGCTCTTTGAGCCTTTGGCTCAGAAGAGCAAATAAAATACAGTTTAGTATGAACACACAAATGTGAATATATCGCAAATCAATGTTATTATATACACATTTAAAGAAAAGTAACCTTATTGGTCCCTAAAACTTCACTAAAACTGAGTTTTAATACAAACAGCTTTTAATTTCTACTAACCTTTGTGTATACAGTGGATTGTAGATGGACTTTGACTTTAAAGATTGGTTTGCCATTATCCACCCATTTGATTTCTGGTGCTGGAATCTAGAAAACAAGAAATCAACAAATTAATTTTGAAATTTTATCTCTATCAGACCTCAATGTCATGAGATGTAATTTACTTTTTAGTTATTCAAGATACTAAGCAGTCAATAGTTTTCATTAAGCCAATGTTAGGTTAAAGAGATTTCTTAAGAAGACCTACTGATCTGTCTGGAGATCTAGCACTGAGGTAGTCTTTAGGTAATGAAGTACAGGCTGCCACTTGTATACTCTGTTCCCCTACTGATACTCTGAAATTCATAACAACTTCATACAGTATATACTGCTATCTAATTGCATCTACTTGTATAAAAGATTTATCATTTACATGTATAAAGTCATAGTTCTAAGAACAAGCTGTGAAATAACATTTTTCTGAACTGTGATTAGAATGTTTGCTGTACAAGTGAATAGATATAATTCAGTAATAAGCTCTAACATCCTTTCCAAAACGAATAGAATGGAGATTTTTTATCACTAACCTGCCCTGGGACAGAAGAGGAAGCCAAGCGAATCCTACAGGTGTCTCTATATTGTCTCGTTTTTTAATGGAAGATGCTGAACTACGATTAGACTTTGAGCCTTCACAACTAACATGATAGAAGCGGAATAATATATGATGTTTATCATGCAACTGTATGGGAAGAGCTATCTTCACCTACAAACCATATAAAATTTACATTCAAAACTGTCATCATTTTCCATTGTAAATGAAAGAAAAGGTGAGCAAGCTCACATATCCCACACTCCCCCAAAACTCGAAGTGCTGAAATTGCTGGCAAAAATATAAAAGGAATCCCAATTTCCTGATAATATGCACATCTACACATTGTGTCCTAAATATCTGCAAAGTATGACGATATTCTGTGCAGCAGTTTAAGAGGAGTTGCACTGACAATATATTCATCTCTATATTCAAGAAATGGCCAAAAATGTAAGTTGAAAAGTGCCGAAATTTCCAGAAAAATTAAGGAATCAGAATTTTCTGGTAATATGCATATCTACACATTGTGTCCTAAATATATGCTACGTTTAACGAAATTGTTTGCAGCGGTTTAATAGGAGTTGCACTGACAAACTGTTCATCTCTATATTCAAGGTATGGCCAAATATGTAAGTTGAAAAATGTGGAAATTTGTAGAAAAAATAAAGGAATCGGAATTTCCTGGAAATATGCACATCTACACATTGTGTCCTAAATAACTGCAAAGTTTGACGAAACTCTGTGCAGCGGTTTATGAGGAGTTGCGCTGACAAACTGTTCATCTCTAATTCAAGTTGAAAAGTGCGGAAATTCCCGGAAAAATAAAGGAATCGGAATTTCCTGGTAATATGCACATCTACACATTGTGTCCTAAATAACTGCAAAGTTTGACGAAATTCTGTACAGCGGTTTATGAGGAGTTGCACTGACCAAAAAAACAGGACTGACGGACAGACTGACTGACTGACGAACGGGTCAAAAACATTATACCTCAGGCAACTTGTTGCTGGGGTATAATTAACTCAAACTAATTCATTCAAACAATCAAAACCAACAATATTTGTTTCAATTTTAATTGAGATACATGTACTAGGGTATGTATTTTTTTTTATTCCAACAGTGCAAATCTATATTGAATGAGTTGAGTTTTTGAGAACTACCTACCTCCTCTAGGAAGTCTGGTGAAGTGTTATGATGGAGAACAGTGGCACTAGCAACAGTAGTGAACACACCTACTTCTGGGCGAGCATATATACGCTAAGAAAAAGAATTCAATGAACATTTGACTGAGTTTTGAGACATTTTCTTTTAATGAAATTAAGGAGATTGAATAGATAGATGCACAACAGATAGCAAATCAGATTCACAAAATTACATCAACTTAAATTTTTCCGATATATGAACAAAATTAAATATTAAGGCATTTTTGGTGAGTTACTTTTACTCATCTGTCATACCTTCAATGGAATTGCATTTTCATCATCTGAATCTCTGATCTCCACACAACATGCAATATTTCTTGCCTGAAAAACACATAAGTGAACAATTCATGATGCTGTACATATCACATTACATAAATTTAAAATATTTCTGAGTTACAAAATTAAAAAGGCTTACCTTTGTGAATGATTTTTGGTGTTCATATCTAAGGTTCATGGGATAAACATAAAGATGATTTACATAAGAGTCAAATGTATCACAGAATGATGCCCTATCTAGGACAAACTGTTCCACTTCTATAGCTGGGGGGTCAGGCGGGGGGATGGGGAATGGTTTAATTGGCACTAGAGAGGAAGTCAAAGTATCTGAAAATAGGAATTTAATATTAATACACTAACAAATATTCTGTTATAACAGTAAAGAACAATAATTTAGGCCATAATAAAAATATTCCTAGATTCTCATCCCTGCCCGCCCCGAAGTTTATGATGGAGAACAGGGCACTAGCTTCGATTTTTTTGATTTCTGTTTTTCTTCGTCTTAATACGCTCTGATCGGGATCGGTATTCATTTGACCATTCTACTTTTCGTTTTAAGTCCCGCGAAGTCGACATGATTTTGACAGCTGAGAAGATGGTAATTGCTGTAATACTTGCGTATATATTTTGAACAAGGATCATTGGTTGAAAAAGATTGGTGATGATGTGAAGTAAGAGATTATGCCTCAGATAATTGAACCTTTACTATGACTTTTATTTGGGTATTGTAGATAAAATTACACCGATTGACCAGGTCAATAAAAAATCTGCAAAATTGAAAAAATAAAAGATATAAAATAAAAGCCGCCCGCCCGCCTCGATTAAAAAAAAATCCGGATGAGAATCTAGCAATTTATTTTTTATGGCCTAAAAGCCGCCCGCCCGCCTCAATTAAAAAAAAAATCCGGATGAGAATCTAGCAATTTATTTTTTATGGCCTTAACTAATTATAACAAATAAAGAAATGCGGTGCTCTTAGTTATTGTCCTGGCCTGCATATTTAGTAGACATAACATGGCCAGGTAAGAGATCTGATCGGAAAGGTTTAACTTTTATACTATCATATCCAAAATAGGAACACAATTTTCTCATTGGTACTAAGTAATTCAAAGGTTAGTCCACCTGTTCAACTCATAAAGACAACTTAATGTACAGAAACAGAGTCAAATTTAAGAAATTAATGTGTACCATACAGCTGTATATCAATAAATTGGTTTATATAGAGTATTAGTCATGTCACAGAAATTGTGCATCAAAAAGTGAATAAAATCAGATATTCTGAGAGGTTTCTAATATGTTCTAATAAATAGATTATATTTTCACATTTACTGTTAAGATAACTTAATATATAAAACTGTACTGAATTATAGAACACAAAAGTACCACACAAAGACTATAATTGTAAGAACTGATAATAAAGTTTACATCTACAACATACCCCACTTATAATATTCTAATAATAAAAAAATATCAATGAAATTTACTTTTCTTGGAGAACAAAACCTGCTTGAAAGATATGTACTCCTTGTATACTAATTGATTTTCAAAGAAAAAATAAAATCGTTTTTCATATAATTAACAATTATGTAAAAAAAAAAAAAAAAAAAGCAATAATAATGCATGAATACTGTAGATTCCTAATTATTAGCGAGGAATTAATTATCGCGTAATTTCGCGAGAATCATTACTCGCGAAATTAAGTGATTCGCTTTTATTATTATAGTGCTAAAATCCATGTATTTTTTTTAATCCTTCATTCATTCGCGAAAAATTATTCTCGCGATTTGACGTTAAAGAGCTATTTCGCGATAATAAAAAAAGGAATTTACAGTATACTGATCATCTTCTGTTACATAAAGGTGATAATTTAAGTGCATACTTTGTAAGGGCTGATCTGGGTTTGTTTTGTGAATTGTAATTTTTAAGCACCCTGGGATCTCTTGAAGTTTTCCTTGTTTTTCAGGCCTATAACGAAAAATATTACAGATAATAATATAAATAATTCCGCAATCGTTGGGTTACTTCAAGAATAAAATTGGAATTTTTTTTTAACTTATTCTTACACGTGAAGCACAAGTGGTTGAGAATTAAGGTCTACCAATTGAAACAAATATTAAGAACAGCATTCCTTCTTAAATTATGCCTTTTTTTTCCCCTTGTGCTATTTTTTAACTACTTTCCAAAAAATAAAAGAATTATCATGCAATTTATTTGCAACTTTACTTACTTTTTTAAGTCCTGAAGAACTTTGATAACTTCCTGTTCTGAAAACTTTGAGGGATCTTGTCTGTAAATTTTTAATTCTGCTGGACCATTTGTTTCAATGATCAATTGTCTATAAAAATTGCAACATATTATGCTTACATTGTAAAACTTCTTCTCTTTTTAAGAACTCTATCAAGTAAAGATGCACTAAATTTAAAGTCTAAGATTTTTATTTTCATAACTTTAATTATTCTATTCTACTATTCTATTAAATCACCTTGCAGCCCATCCAAATGGCATTCTGTGATGTCCGATCTGTGAACAGAACTGCCTCATCTGTTTGTAGACTTTGTTACCAGAGGGGGCCTTGAGGTACTGGTCACAAGCCTGGGATAGGGAGCCCTGGAGGACCTTCTCTACCCTCACAAACAAGTACACCTCAGCATGGCAGGAAGTCACCGAGAACACACCCTGTAAATGAGTAAAATACACTCTGATCACCAGATTTTCATGACACCTTTAGTTAAACATGTGGTATTTTAAGCCAGACAAAATTTCCATGAATCCTGGTTTTTGCTCTATGTCTTCTTTGCTAATAAAAAATACACAAGAATAAAATTTTTGCAACAGATGGTTTCTCTTAAGTAGCCAAAAAAAAGTAGCTAAACATCAAGCACTCACATTCCACAATTCAAACACACAACCTCTTTTCAATTAAAAATAATGAAAAGCTGACCAAATATCGGACTAAGAGTTGAATCTGGGTAACTTCTATGCCGGACTTACATGTCTGTCTTTTTTAAGCAGCCACTCCTCTGACAAGTCGTGGAGATTTGGGGAGGTATTCCTGCCCTCTACAGAGTGGAGTTTGTCTGACGCTAACAAGACATCATCAGGGACCATCTGTCTGATCTCCTTCTCATTGGGGTCTATGTAGAAATCCTCCGAAATCTTCTTTCCTTCTTTGGCATCGTACAAAGCAAAACTCAGAAAGAAGGGCTCGGGCTGTAATGCAAAGTACCAGTATGTACTGAATTCAGAGAACAGGCACAATACTGACTTAACCTTATGATAAAATCAGTTAGTGAGTCTGAATGTGCATAATTTGTAAAACTTATCATTCAGAGAATCCCTTAATGCAATCATACCAAACTGTTATAAGATATAGTTAAACTCTGGTATATGACCACCAATATTTCAAATACCATGGGTATGTTGAAGTGATTTGGAAGTCCCAAGCACTAATTCATTAAGTATTTTACCCTTGAATCCTCAGATAATTTTTCTTCTTGGCCTCATCAAGTTCAATATAATAAGGTTTGACTATATTTGCTTAGTTGTAAATTACTTCTTACATTTGCGAACTTCTGTCCGAGCCCCTCCTCTGCCAGATTGACCTGTGTTTTAAGCTTGAAGTCCACCAGTCTCATCAGGTAGTGGTCACACACTGTGGCCGGGAACACCTCAATGTCCTCCTGATTCTCATCTTCCTCCTCATCGTCCTCATCAAAGTGGAACCTCTGTAAAGGTAAGAGATCTAACATGTCAAACCAATGTGACACCTTTATAACAAATACAGACTGAAAGTAAATAAAAGATGAATCGGTGTAAAGAAAACATATTTACAATATAAATTGGAATCTATTTTGTAGACAAAGACTTTAAAGTCTTTAGACTGAATAAATTCTATTCATGAACACAGAACTTTAGCTAAAATCATTTTCCTTAAATGAACATTCAACCAAGATTTATTGCCTTATCAACTCACAATGCCTGGATAAACTCGAAATAGATTGTGCCTGTTTTCTTCTCGAGCCTTTGTTAACATCAAATCACTTTCTCTGTTGTACTGAAAAAGATTTATTAAAATTTAATTTTAAAAATGTCTATTTATCATCTAACTTTTGCAGTATTCTAGAACAATCCTTAAAACTGAAGAAATATTCACAAAGAAATAAGTGGGTGGAGAAAATGATCCTTTACCTTCACTAACTCTGGATGCATGCTAATTTCTGCTTTTTCTCCAGACTTGTCAGGAGTTTGAACTTCCTCTAAAGAAATAAAATACATTCAAAGTTAGATTAATCATCTAAATGAAGCAAATTATAAAATTAACACAAGATACACTGGGACACTAATGAAAGACATGGTACTATTTGATACTCCATGGTATATTACTGGAATCTTAAACTAGAAAACTGACCAGTCAGCAAGGGCCCCGCCATGGGGTAGAATTAAAAGGGTGCAGCTTACAGAATGATTAATAAATGTACGAAGAATAAGCAACAGCAACTGTATTCTTAAAATTTCAAGATAATTCCTGAATATTCAAAAACCTGAAAATAATATCCTTGTATTTACATTAGGCAGTAAAGAACAACTTAACATTGAATGTATATTTAAACAATTATGAAGCTTGTGTTATATAAAATGCCAGCCTTCAATGAATGCAAATATCATGAAGGCTTGACCTTAACTTCAAACAAACAGCAGTTGCAGACAAAGGTTTTCATTAATCTTAAAGTGACAGATAAAGAAAAGCCTACTAAATTTTCTGCAGCAGGCTAGATAATTAATCCCAAGGGATTAATTGTACCTCTCTCATCATTTTCTTCTAAATTTACAATAAGAATTTTTTCAGTATTAATGATAGAATGGGGGTTTTATACAACTACATTAAAAATTAATAATATTCTTGAATTAATATATTTTAAAAACATAGGTAATCAGAGATTACAGAGCTCACCTCAACGAATGTTATCTTTAAGTAAGGCAAAGTCACACAATTAACCAACAAAAAGTGTACATTCCAAAAATGAAAATATTTAAGCAATTTTGATCTGATACTTTGAAATAGACCTACATAAACAATTTAAACTAGTTCTTCTTCATGAAAATGTAATCAAAATCCAGCATCTGAAGCAAATTTGAGAATTTTCATCTCTTGATGAAAACTTTAACCTGTTCACTCAACCACAAAATGTAGGTCAGATTCAGCATCCGAAGCAAGCCCGGTAGTGTGCATTCTTAGATGTATCATCCATGCAAGTTTGGTCAACATAGGTCTCATAGTTACTTGGAAATGAAACCTGCACCAAAAACTTTAACCTGTTCACTCAACCGGAAAATGTAGGTCAGATTCAGCATCCGAAGCAAGCCCGGTAGTATGCATCCTTAGATGTATCATCCATGCAAATTTGGTCAACATAGGTCTCATAGTTACTTGGAAATGAAACCTACACCAAAAACTTTAACCTGTTCACTCAACCAGAAAATGTAGGTCAGATTCAGCATCCGAAGCAAGCCCGGTAGTATGCATCCTTAGATGTATCATCCATGCAAGTTTGGTCAACATCGGGCTTATAGTTACTTGGAAATGAGACCTGCACCAAAAACTGAAACCTGTTCACTCAACCGGAAAATGTAGGTCAGATTCAGCATCCGAAGCGAGCCTGGTAGTATGCATCCTTAGATGTATGACCATGCAAGGTTGGTCAACATAGGGCTTATAGTTACTTGGAAATGAGACCTGCACCAAAAACTTAAACCTGTTCACTCAACCGGAAAATGTAGGTCAGATTCAGCATCCGAAGCAAGCCCGGTAGTATGCATCCTTAGATGTATCATCCATGCAAGTTTGGTCAACGTAGGGCTTATAGTTACTTGGAAATGAAACCTGCACCAAACACTTTAACCTGTTCACTCAACCGGAAAATGTAGGTCAGATTCAGCCCGGTAGTATCCATCCTTAGATGTATCATCCATGCAAGTTTGGTCAACATAGGGATTATAGTTACTTGGAAATGAAACTTACACCAAAAACTGCACCAAAAATGTTAACCTGCTCCAAAAACATTAACCTGGTCATTCCTTTGCTGAAATTGCAGCATCTGAAACTTTGACTGGTACAATGAAACACACTAGAACCATCTTCCATGCATGTCTAATCAATATAGGACATAGAAGTACTTAAAAAGAAAACTGCTCCAAAAAACTTAACCTTAACCTGGGACGCCGACGCCGACGTGGACGCCGACGCCGACACCGACGCCGACGCCGAGGGTATTACATAAGCTCCCCCAACTTCGTTGAGGTGAGCTAAAAAAAGTGAAAAAAGTGAAAAAAAGTAAATCAAAAAATCTTCTTTCATCTATTTCTTTTTTTAGAATTCAATGAAATCATAACTATCAAACAAAAATAAATAATAAAAATTTATATTTAAATCCACATTTCAGAGTGTTCATAGCATTCCAAATTGATTTAACTTCAAAACAAACTTCATTTGCAGACAGAGGTGGTAATTAATCTCAATGTGACAGATAAAGATAATGCTCTGGATTTTCTTCAGGAGGAAAGCTAATTAATCCCAAGGGACTCCTAGCAGCATTCAGTTTACAATATGGGAACATCTTCAGCAGTTATCTCTCTTTGCCAATGCATTCTTATATAAAGTGAAGGAATCTACCCCACCACCCCAGCTCCAAACCAAGGGACATAGAGAACCCAACTTAGCATCAAAATATGTATTTCTGCCTACTGAACTACCGTACCAAATTTGTACTTGATTGGGCAACCATAAAAAAAGTTGCCCGTTCATTCTTATGCATAGTTAAGGAATCTACCCCACCACCCCAGCTCCAAACCATGGGACATAGAGAACCAAACTTAGCATCAAAATATGTATTTCTGCCTACTGAACTACCATACCAAATTTGAACTTGATTGGGCAACCATAAAAAAAGTTATTAGAAAAAAACAGAAAATTTGTGGACGGAAGAGTGACAGACAGACAGACAGACGGACAGACGGACGGACAGAGTGATTACTATAGGGCACCCGCAAATCCTTGCGGGGCCCTAATAACATTAAACAATCGGGTTAAGAAGATTTAATTTTATCCAAAACAAAATTTTAAAAAAATTAAAAAAACACACACACACAAAAACACTAAAAAGGGAGCAGGTTCCAACACCCACCAGAAAAAAAGTATATTGTGAACATTTTGAACTTATTAATAGAAAAGTGATGGTGTTTCTACCTTATTTGAATATCAAGTAATTAACACTTCTAACTCATTTGACTATACAGTTATTAGCAATAAGTTTTCCCACAAAATATATCTACTTTTATTTGTTGTAATTTGTAAACATGTTTATTCCTGTAACCACGAAAAAAAACAAAAACATTTTCTTCCTGCATTTTCCTTTACCTTATGTCAATCACAAACCTTTTGCTGATAAATATAATCATGCAAACCCTGAAGTGATTCCAATGAAGTCTTGAATATTGCAATACAAACACACATGTATAACTGATATAAAGCAAGCTTTTGTATATGAATTCAGTCCAAGATACCTCTATTCCTTTCCATAGACACATTAGATGCAGTTTCTGCAGCGTTTATTGCTTTGTTCAATACTCTGATCCAATCATTCATCTCTGTTTCTGATTCCGCAGCGAACACATACGGGGGGCGGTCATTGGTGAGGACCACTTCAAAACAGTGCTTCCCTCTCTTAGAGTTCTGAAGAAAACAGGTGAAATGATAACATATATATATATAAATGTAGTACTTTTTCTCTTAACATGGACCGCATGGGTTTATATACCTTTTTTTTGAAGTCAGTACATGTACTTAAGTATTTTCATCTAATTTTTAGTATATGGTGACTACAAATTTAAAAATGAATGCATGAGTAAATGTTACATATCCAGTACATATATGTGTGATATTTTCAAAAATTATTTATATTTTCAAAATCGTAACAGTGAAATATCAATATCTCGAAGTTGAAGGGACCTGGACACGACTTCGAGATATCCGGGGGTTCGAGATATCCGAAGTTATCTTCTAAAGTCGAATCAATAATTTCCCGTTTTTGTATATATAACTTCATGCATAACACTATCCTGTAACATGTAGTCTTTATGGTAAAGACTCAAGCATATTCACAATAAATATTAAGAAAAACAATGTTGTTGTTTTCTTTATTGTGTATAATTGTAAAACAATTTAATGTACATGCCTTATTGCATATACAGCGATTTTACATTTTCCAGGCTATGCTTACGTGGTCCAACGGGATGTATCATTAGCATTATAGTTGAAGAACAAAGAAGAAGACAAAATTTTTAAAAACATTATTTGATGAAATTTAGTGTTATTTAGAGCACTAAAAAAATAATCAGTATTTAAAATGTGTACTTGAATATTAATAGCTTACATGTATTACATTACGAAGTACATGTACTGCTAAGGAACATATAGTTTACGAAACTAACAATGTCAATGGAAGTCAAGGTTATCTATTTATATGCAGATAAGCATGAATGTAATCAATCACTGCACTGTGCATTATGCACTGCAACTTAACTGTTTAATTTAAGTTAATCGTGAAAATTATTATTTTTATGAATTTACTATTTCAATTATACAGAGCATATTATTAAATGCAATATCAGTAATACTGTCTGTCTTTATTTTCTGAATTGCAGCGAAATTGTTTGTTTTATCGGTCATAGACTACACTAAACACCCAAGCTGTGATACCAATTACCCTGACACAGATACCAAACATGACCTTGAGATTAATTAAGATTCCCCCCCCCCCCCCGTTTGAATGTGTCAATTAATAGCCACTGGCAAGAATGCGTGAAGTCACGACGCCAGGTGTGTTCAGTAGATATAATATTCACTGCACTTTTGAGATAAGCCAGGTGAAAAGGGGCTTGGGACTTTGAATATACATGTACTTCAACACAAGCAGGGTATTCGATATTACCATGTTCAAGATTTCAGGTGTTTTTTAAATCATATATATATAGAAAACAGCTGATACCGGCGATCGACTTCGACATAAGCGGGGTATTCGAGATACCCCATGTTCGAGATACATGTACTGATATTTACCTGTACTGAATTTTTTTTTATAATCTTTGTTTTGTTCTCATTTGTTTTAATAAAATATATATCACCTCAACAGCATTATTAAGATAGAGTATGTACAATGTAAATTTGATTTAGTTCAGTCAATTGCTGGGTTTGAACATGAAGCTGACAATAGCTAGCAACTGTTCTATGAGCAATAAGCCCACCTAAAGACATTAGGATAAACAAAAATATGTAGCAAAAATGTGAGTTGTTTTTCTTTTGATCTCTTTCACCAGGTTCAGGGTGTAATTCAAACTTCCAAAAAATAACCATTGAAAGAAAATTTGTTTGCAGAGTTAAACAAAGCAAACTGCAGACATGTATAGAACTCTATCATTAATTCAGTAAAACTGCTATTGTGATGGGTATAAGAGAAAACAAATTGTCTCCTTACTGGCCTAGCTTCAGTTGCCAGGTCCAGAAATATGGCTCCTTTGGCATCTGTTTTCCGCTCATCTTTGTAGAACTGTAAGCTGTATGTGAAGTCTGACTCTTGCTTTAGTATAAAGTATCTCTTCTTGAATTGCTACAAGATAAATCAAATCAAAGTCATTGATCTAACAATTGTTTTATGTGCATCATTTGAAACTTTCAACAACAGTTTTTCAAACTTGCATACAATAAAAAGCTACTAAACTTTAATACTTAAATGCAAATTAAAGCCCTAGAATGTGACTAATATCCATAAACATATACGGAAAAACTTTACATATTATAGAGTATAAAGCTGTCAGCTGGATAGATTACCCTTGTAAAACTAATGATGTTCTCTTTGCCTCCATCTGGACCTTTATACAACCAGCCTGTTTTCTGAATCCTGGCCGTCAAACTCTTTGTGTCCTACATGATACAAAAGACCATCTAACACTGTGATGTGAAGTGAAGGTTGTGAAGAGTATTGCTGATATACATGTATCTCTACTTTTTAATATATATTTTCAGACAAATAATTGTAATCTATATTTTATTTATCTTTGGGATGCAGAAGAAATAATTACAAGTGCAGTTATAATTGTTTCTTTTAAATAGACATTCAAGCTTCATAAAATCTCTTTCCCTTCTAAATATAACAATCTTATATACACACATACAATGTACTCCTATATAAACCAACTTACACATGAAGATGATCAATACAAAAATAGTACACACAAGTCCTATAAAGCCAAACATTGACCTTGTTGATATAATTTATGACAGATGACACACTCATGCATAACCATTAATGTCTACGTAAGTTTTATTTTTACACCGGTTCTGACAACAGCCATATCTGTGAGAACATTCAGTCATCAGGACATTTTTTTGTGTATGAACTTATAACTGATATATTCTGACCTCGTCACCCCTTTCTTCTGGTTCAGCATCAATCTCAAATGTGTGCTGAGGTAGAGGGTCTGTATTCTTGATACTGAAATAAAGTAAAACTATCAATATCTCTGTCAACATAAAACTGAAATTAACACAATTACTAGCATCACATAAAACAAGAGTTACCAACATCAGTCAAAATAATACTGAAATAAAACATAGCTACACCACAGTCAACACAATATAATGAAACAAAATAGTTATCAACATCATATTCAGCATGGACTTTACATTTATCAGGTCATATGACAGGTATTAGGATTTTTAATGTTGTAGTAAACAATGAATCTACATTAATCATGAAAAACAGGTGCTAAGATTTTTAATGAAGCAGTAAACATGAAATCCACATTTATGACAAAAATGTTTTCTTTTGACAACCAACACTATCATAAATGGATACAATATCACAAATTATGTGTCTAGTAAAATTATTAAATTTGTCTGACCCTGGATGTAAGCTACACAATGTTTACCTGTAATTCAAATATCCTGAGATTTCATACTCACTTGGGTAGTTTCTCATATCGTCCAGCATAGGCACTGTACTTGAACCTGACAATATGACAACTGTCTGTATAGGATTTTATACACTGCCGCAGCAACAAATCTTTGGCCTCATCCAATGCTGAATCAGGAACAGTGGAATACAGTGTACGCATCCTCTTAGGTGGATTTGGGGGCTAAAATATCAGAGTGATACCCTAATATAAATTTCATTTCCTCAAGTCAATATATATTCTGACAATTGTTACTGTAACAATAAGTTGAATATGTGTCCTGCCTACTTATATTGTAAATATACTTACCAATGAAACATCAAGTTTATTTCTACCACGTTAAAAGTAAAAAAAAGTCAACAAGCTAACAAAATTATTCCTGATTCTTTGTTTTAGTTCCTACTTTCAACTCCCCCCTTTCCCGACCCTTTCTCAACAACAACCTTTACTGCTGAGTGTGAAATCTTACCGGAATGATGATGTCATCGTACGGGAATGTGAGCATCTCCCTCTGGGGGTCATTGTGGAGGATACTCTTGTTCTTACCGATATAAGTCTCATAGTCAACCGGGTCTACTTGTTTGGGTCTGGCCTACAAAACAAAATTATAATCCTTATAGTACCAATTAAACACAGTTCAATGTTTGTTCTGGAACTCTACAATACATACATTATGTCTCAAAAACTGAAAATGTGACATTTTGTTCCTAAACTAGAAAATGGAACTCATGACTCCACAGATAGACTGTAAACAAAAATCTACTGTGAACTGCTGATAAATAAACAATCAGCGGAAATATGTGACAATGATTGCATGTCACTGACTGCTGAGAACATGTGTTCAAAGGAAGTAGATAAAGTGACATAATAAAACAAAACATTACCGTTATAACATACATCTCCAAACAGTCATTCAACCATTACCGATTTTAACTGCTCAAACTTTTAAAATAGCTGTTTTATTTTTACTTCCTTCCTTAAAATTTTTAGATTTTTTTTTTTTACAAGATAGACAGTGAGCAAACAAAAAAGTTTTCCCTCCATCAACAAGGAAATAGATACAGGAAGTGGGTCAAAATAGTATGCCAGGGTTTAAGTGAGTCTTTGTTCTCATAAGCTTAGAGTCAATGTATTGTTCTTCATATTTGTCACCATGTACAGTATTTCTGAATCACTGAATATTGAGAGCAGGAAAATTGTATTTCAGGTAAATTATTTTGACTTTTTGATTACTATTTCAAAATACAGTACTTGCATGTACATATATTTAAGTGTGATCATGTGTTTGTATCTCTAAGTATTACACATTGTAGCATATGGATGTATTTTAGTTAGTTATAAGTAAAATTAACATAGATACTCTGCATTCAAGAATCTTCTCATAAGAAATAGTCTATTAAATATTTTCATTGAACCATACACAAACATTTTCTTGATGATGGGACACTTAATATCAACACTTCTACTTCCTAAATATTATGTAAGAAGGATCCCTAAGTGTGCATGTAAAGTTCTATATTAATTGTACAAGAGCTATAATCTAAACCATCAGTCATAACAAATGTAATTGTGCACCTCTTCATTAAATTAATAATTAATTCTGATATAAATATACACAACTGAAAATAACTTAATAATGGTAAAAGGACAAATATGTTTAACATCCCTTCAGAGATTTTCACCATTTACTTAGATGCACTTGCTGATGAAGGGTAGAAAATATAAACAACTGTACTTGGCACTTAGATCTTTGACAAATGAGGGATATTTTTAGTGCCAGCATCTACTTCAACAAAGGACTGGTCTCGGTCATTTGGATTCCAACCTGGCCGAAACAAAAGGATCAACTCCTTACTCTATAATTTGAAAAACTTTACTGCATCATGTAAAAAAGGGGAAAGAAAAACAAAAATCAAAGTGGATTGAAATCGTTTTTTTCCAATCATGGAAATAAGAATAGGTAAAATCAAAGCTTTGACTACAGTCGAAAAAAAATGTATTGTTAGACTAAATGGCCCTGCTCAGACCACAATCAATACAAGTACCACTTGCACTAATCCTATAAGCATTGAAGACATTGGTATACTGATATATTTCATAATCTGATGCATAACCAATAAAACCCCAAACAACCCTGTCAATACACTGACTGTCTGTCTCTGATAAGATCTATAATCCCCTCAGAGAATTTTACGGACACTCCGACTTTCTGCACACTAATACTGCTAGGTTCTTTAGACTTCTTGCATGCATCAATTTGCTTACACATTAATATACAGCCAATTGTTTATGCAAATTGTGACCAGTACTTGTCTTTTTTTTTTTTTTAATAAAAAGATTTTATTTAGAATCCAATGCTTAATTCAGAAAAACCTTCTGATAGACTTTAAATGTGTTCAAACTCTACATATGTACATGTTACTTACTTATTAGTACAAAATCAAATTCTGTCGAAACATGTTTTCATTAAACCAACATCTATTGGTTGAAGAAACAAACATTGACAGTTATATTTTGACCTTTTATTTTTGGTCCATAAAACAAAGTTCAATTTACGTGTAAATAATGGAATAAAATTTTACATTAACCCATTTCAAGGGGGCCCAAAATACCCCGAAAATTCCCCCCTGACCGACATGAATGTAGATTATTTTTTATTACACTATAAACATCTTCAATGGTAGAGATTATAATCTAGTTGCCTCCTACACTTGAGATGTGGTATCCATTGGTATGTATCCAGAATGATTTAAAGTACCATGTGTGTGTAGCAAAGATACATTTCAACAACTGAAAATATATAAATTATCCATAGCCCTACCAGACCCCTGTTTTCAAGTAGTATAAAAGACATTAACATTCAGCAGCTTCATTATAAAACCTGTATTATACTAATAATGAATTTGTTTACTTGAAATGTAAACCTTTGATATTGACTCCCCTGTACTGGTTCAAATCCACAAGTTTAAGACTTAGATCATTGTCAGATATCCACTCATGATCAAGTGTTTTACTCATCAAATGACATATTTTGCTACATTATCAATGAATAATTAAACAAAATTAAAAAATTCAAGAGAAAATAAAGCAAAGACAAAAAAAGGGCATTTATTTTTGTTTTAAAAAAGGTCAAATGAAAAACTATCAATATGTTTGCTTTTGATCTTCAGAAATTCATCAATGAATATGATATGATATCATTGTTAGTTTATAAACAAAACTGCTTAAAATATGAACATGTACCCATACTACAGCTCAACTTCAGTATCTATTGAATACCCGGAAAATGGAATCCCAATGCCCCTTTTCCTTCACTTATATTTTTACCCTCTGAAATCAGGAAGTTCTCACTCCCAACAAGTCCAGGATAACAAGGTTTTACTGTATATTGTTTAAATTTGTCTCTAATGACACACATATCTTTAAACAATACTCTATCCAGGGGTGGGGAGAGGTGTTCTTTTTTTTAAAATTAGGATTAGAGAATCAAGCATTAAGAGGGGGATCTTTTACAATATTTATAAAGAGGACTAAAGAACGAAACCCAAACAACATGAGGTATTGTTCACATAAAATGCAGATTATTTTTTAAACAAAGACAACAATGACCCTGGTCCTGCAAAAAATATATGAAAATTGCTTTATTTCTCCTGTTTTATAAAAAACCAAGGGAACAAATATCTGATCTTTGTGAGAATTTTTTGGCCATTATATGTTATGCTTGATGCATGATGGTACAATCTGTTTTTAGGAAGTCCAAGGGAAAAAATTTAATCTTTGCTAGAATTTTTGGCCGTTTTGTGCTATGCCTATGCATGCTGGTACCTATAACCCTAACTACATGAACAATTTTTTATGAAGTGTTATGATGGAGTGAGTTTTATAGGTGTGTATAAAAAAACCCCGTATAACAAAGAAATGACAGAAACAAACAGGGGGATAATGAAAACAATGATAAATCAAACAGACATTTAAAACAACTGAACATGATTACAACATAATCATAAAATATTACCTAATCGCTATCATTTCTATAATACCTGTCTTTCTTGAGCTGAGGGTTACCAGTGAAGCTAGGTACATCACTGCCATGGTGCAGTCAATACACAGATATCAAGTAACTCTGTCTCCTAAAATCTACATCCTCCATCCAATATAACTTTATCACATTATAAACATTCCTATAACCACTACACTGCTTTGTATTCCTCCAACAAATGCATGTAAAAATCCAGTTACTTTTTTTGCACAGGATGAAAGAATTGTTTACGCTTTTATCAGAAAACAAAAGTATATATAAAATTTCCAACTGGCATCAAACTTTCATAACAGAATTCCAGACAGCAAGCAAGAATCATGAGGAAACACAGTTTTAGCATTAAAATGCCTGACCAAAACCTGCTATATCTTACTTTCTAATAGACACAGATTCCTGGTGAATTCTTTGTCGGATAAGGTACATGTTTAATGTGATTTAGTCATTATCGATGCATGCTTCAGGATAGTTGATTCAGTGATGGCCAATATATCACAGGTTAATTACAGTCCACAGTATAAAACTCGTGCCTTTGTGGACATTTTAAAATCACTTCCAACCATCAAGAAAGTCATCGAACATTTCATAACATGCACTACAAACCAATAAAACCCAGCCTTCATTTTTTGTGAAAATACAATATTATCAGAGAACATGACAATTATATTTGATACAGTTGTAATATATTCTGATGCAGTTTCCAATAAAGTTCCCAGTGATATGTTGCAATAATGAAATTCCACACACATCACCCAGTTCAAATGAACACTTATATAAGCAATTGCTGGATTAAATTCAAGCAATAAATGACTTCTAACTATGCTAAAAGTAGAGCAGATTGGTTTCCCCCACTATGTGGTCAACTTAAAAGAGCTTGTTTGTGTAAAATACTTCAAAATATTTTATTATAGCCTTATATTGACATCATAAAACTGTTTTCAAAAGTACAGTGCATTTCATTTTAGGAAACAAATATTATAGCCTTATATTGATATCGTAAAACTGTATAAAAAAGTACAGTGCATTTCATTTTAGGAAACAAATATTTAACCAAAATGTCCTTTCTAATGCTTGACTTTTGCATCACAAAAAGTGTTTGTCACCATGATTTGATTCAATTTTTGTAAAGTTCTTTGTTTTTGTAATGGGACTGAGTGAACACATAAGAGATCATTAATTTTCCCTCTTAGACTATCATTGTGCCCCACAAAGACATGTTTCTGACAAAAATGTGAGATATAGCATTCAGTCAATGTGGTCGAAATCGAAAAAATATTTGGAAGGTATTCACTGTTCTTAAAGTTGTACCATTCTAAGTATATTCACCATCTCATTTCAGCAATGTGATTTCAAAGATCAGTGAATAATTATTTATTAATAAGAAAATGCATTGCCTGCATCAACAATAACTTTTTTAGAATTTGATACAATTAATGTGACTAGATTATATGAAAAAGAAATAAATTTAAAACTTAATACATTATGATCAAAAGTTAAAAACTTTTCTTCACCATTAAGAGTCTTTTAAATGAGACAAGTATTTAACTGGAGCATGAATAGAGGTGGGTTAGAGAGGCAAAAGCAAGCTTTACAGAATGCGTAAGCATTACTTTTACTTTTTCATTCTCCCTTGACAAACATGATGTAAAATGATGAATTAAGAGAGAAGAGGCAGACAGGGATATAATTACATGTATGATGTACAAGTAAATGTAACATACTAATCATGATGCAATATATTAAGCAATATAGTCATAAAAATAAAATGTTTTCTGTTTAAGCTAAATACATTTAATATTCTCACATAATCTCTTATTAGCCTGGCTAATCATTGCTTGCATTAAACAATGAAATACTGTCTCAAAATGCTCGGAAATAGTGTATGAAAGTTATTTCATTTTTTTATTTCATATACCCTCTATGTTATCTTGCTTGTATCTGGTGATCAATCACTGATCATGTAGTCATTTGTAAATTAAGTTTCTGATGAGTTTTATCTTCACATATCCTTTGCCCCTTTTTTGTACTTTCAGCACTCTAAATCATAAAAGTTGTCCTAAAGGTTGTTTAAAGCTGTAACAATCATGTCTTCTTTATCAAGAAGTTTAATTCTGCAAGTATTAGTTTCCAATTGCTAGATGTACTGAAATCATGATCAGGGTTTCAGCCTATAATATGCATGCAGAGAATGTAACGACATAAAGATATTTTCCATCTTAACACCCTTTTAAGAAAACTCTTAAACTGGCTTTGGGAAATTATGCTAATGGACATCTATAAAAGGTTTCAAGAACATTAAAAATACACAAAAAAAAACATTCTATGTGTAAAGTTGATTTCTTCCTTAGTAAAACAAAGCAAGTAACAAAGAACCAATTGAACCAAAACCTGATGGTAATAGCTTTATAGGCCTGTTCCTCTGTGGTCAAGATAGTGGTGTTACCATAAGGCATCATCAAAATGCATCATCATAGAAAGTCACCACTAGGGTGAAGTCTTGATCACACTGGCCTGATAGCAAAATGTCCATAAAAAATTTGCTCCATTCTAATTAAATACAGATTCAACATACACATATATACTAGGATTTGTGGTCATAACTTGTTTGAGGTCATATTGTAAGTCTAGAAATAATACTCTACCATAACAATGCCTTTCTCAGGACTGGAAAAGTCATAATTGTTGTTGACCTCAATGGATATTGATCTCTGCAAAATTGGTGTTAAAATGGTGCAAACATACTGCATTTAGCATAAATATTGACATATCATCATGTTAAAGTAATGATCTTCATCTAAATACCTTGTATTCTTTAAAGTATTAGAATAGATATACTTATTTTTATGCATATATAATTTGGGGAAAAAATTATATGTATATTATATTCTCATATTTTTATTTTCTAATATATGTTGCATGTAATAAATTACTGCATGAAAGTGAATGCATGTATTTATCCTTTAAGTTCCTTAGCATTTGCATGTTACATGATTGAACAGCTGACAATACCTGTGGCAGAGGTAAAATAAATTTCTTTTTCTTATTCATGTCTAGCTACACAAACCAAGGTTCCATTTCAGTTACACATTCCAGCTCTCCATCACAAAACAATCAAGCATCACAAAAAATACAACCACTGAGCAATTCCATCACAGTTCATTTACATTCCAGCAGAAAACGCATTATGAAATCACACAATAAGTCCAATGGACTGTTGATTAATTAACTACAAAGGCTGAAGTCTCTTGGCTAGAGTAGGACTTTGCGAGACCAGGCCATAATCTGAGCCGTAAAATGTCAGTCGGCCCTTCTGCACGCCACCACCACATATAAAAGTGACAATCCCGGCAATACTAATCTATATGACATTCCACAATTTCTCTCTTCAAAAGAAATGTGAAACATATCTTTCTAACTGGTAGTATAAATTTAAGAAACCAGACCCTTCGTTGATGCGAAGGTGTGTTTTATACAGGATAATGAAATGTATACCTCAGGGCTTTATCAAATTACACAAACATTTTCACAATGACTTTTTTAAAAGTAAACATTTGTAAATTTTTTGAAATGCAAGAACAAGGAAATAAAAAATTATATACATAAAAAG